TTTTTTTTTTTTTTTTTTTTTTTTTTGGTACCAGGGATTGAGCTCGGGTCCTTGCGCTTGCAAGGCAGGCCACCAAACTGCTGAGTTAAATCCCCGGCCCAATAAATGAATTATTTTTGGAGTTAAAAAAATTCTAAAAAATAAGCTAATAAAAATGCCTATTGTGTAAAATGCAAGTGTCTCTTTTTGTTGTTGAAATACAAAAAAAAAGGTTTGAAATGAATACAAGATTAATATGTTCCTTCTATATGTTAACAGATGGAAATAGTTAAAATTTTAGACAAATGTAATACAACCAGTACCTTAAATTAATACAGAATTCTAAGTCCCTGCTACTAGATTTATTTATATTTTCAGTTCTTAGGAAGAATTTCTTTTTAGTTTTCACATCTACTTGTTAATCGTAATGATTAATTTGAATTGATTCCTTAAGGATATTTAGTTAAACACAAAAACCTTGAGAGGAAACAAAGCTAGTCTTTATTCTCTATATTTGCTTTTATTCTAATACTTATATGCCTAAATATTTTAAACAGAAACAATAGAGGAGTACACTTTTACAAGTATCTAAAATTTCTGTATTTCTTACAACTAAAATTAAATCTCTAATATCTTCATTTTTATTTGGAAGGGAAGCAGTTAAGATATTTTAGCTTACATCCAGTCTATTTTTATAGAATATTTCAATTCAAGGGATATTTCTTTAATTGGTCAGATGTTTGGTAGCACTATAAAACACTTTTCACTGCCGTTCTCAAGGACTAGTTATTATTTTCTGTAAATATGGAAAATATTTATTATCATCCTTTACCTTGAAGGCTGTCTAAAAGAGAATAATTCCATTCCATTCATTCTGGGTCAAAATTTGAAGCAAATGGCTGCAAATACTTCCAGTAAATTTCTACTATAGATACAACTAATGTGAACAGCGTGGAATGATGTACCTTTTCCTTGATTATTTAGATGGGAGATGGGGTACCTATAGAAAACATATGTTATTCTGTCAATATAAATTACTGATTCTCTTTTCCCCCACCAGGCCTGATGGAATTGGAACTGTTTCAGTGGAAGAAAAGGAGAGGTTTGAAGAGATAAAAGAGAGATTGTCTTCCCTTTTAGAAAATCAGATAAGCCATTTCAGGTGTATTTTTTATTCATCATTAAATTTGTTTGTTTGTTTATCTTCATCCTTCATTTCCCTACAGATTTCTTCATTACATCTTCCTGCCACTATGCAAAAATTATTAAGACCCCCATCACCTAAGAGTGCGACTCACACTCTTCAGTATGTGGTCTGCTTGCTGCCTGTGTCTCATTATCTACTGCCCTTTCAAGTTAGCTCTTCCCCGTGTGATATCCATTCTACTGCACCTCTTGCTTGCCTTTTGCATTTTTTATTTATCCATCCTACGTACTTTTTTGAACTCTGATGACTGTGCTTCTCTCTGTGTCATCCTGCAAGGAGAGTTTCACAGACCACCTTTTCAGTGGAACTCTTCTCAGTTATTCCAACAAATAATGTTCTGGAGTCTTTCAGAATTATTGTCTGTACTCTTTAGTTGTCATTTGTAACATAGTTATAACATCTACTGCTCAATTCATTAGATGTCTTTTAATTTATATTCTGAGAACACAGACCACACCTAGCGCAGTTCCTTGCTCAAAAATTATCAGTAATAAGAAATATTTGCGGAGTGAAAGACAAATATGTTGATAGTATTTTCCCTTGCTTTTAGTTAATTCAAAAGAACATAGTAGTTAGAAACACAAATATGCTAATACATTTTCCTTTTCTGTCATTATATAAATACCCTATAAAATGTCGCCATGTCAATGTAGTGTGTCTTAGAGCATGCCCACTGTTGTACTTACGTAATTTGGAGTCCTTTCATGTGCACTCATTGAAAAAGTAATTAGATAAACCATCCTTCTCCAAACTGCTATTTGTCCGTTTGAATGTAATACATATGGCCATTTCAAGATTCTGTGTTCATAACTATAATATAAAAATCTTGGGCTTTCTGATTTTAAAATGGTGCCGAAGGAATTCTCAACATACACACAAGAACACACACTCTGCATCTATTCCCTTACAGTAGAGATTTTCAACTGAAGCGGTGACCTCCACCCACTAGTAAGTAAACAAAGGAAGATTTTTATTGCCACAGTAATCAGTAGTTGAGCTAGACAGGTAATGCTAGGTTTAGACATGCAGTGCTAAATAGCATAGCTGAATTCAAATTCTAGACTTCAGAGTTAGCTCTTTATCTAATTTTTTGAGTTTATAAGCAAGTCATAAAGAAGGGTTTTATATTTGTAAGTATCTGTTTCTGTATTTGTAATTGAAAGTGTTGTCTCTTGGGTTGTACACATGTGCTTTAAATGTATCTTTGGTGTCTTTCAATGAAGGTCAATGGAATTTTTCCTTTTTTACTTCTCATTGTTGGGACAGAGCTCATTCAATTGAATATCAGTAACCATCTGCATCTTCATGATTATTGTACCAAAGATTTCAGTTACAAGTAACAATAATCCTTCTACAAGATAGCTTAAACAGTAAATAAATGTATATGCCCACTTGCTTGCTGGTCTGGGGCTGCCAGGCTTTCAGATAGATTGATTTACTGTCTACCTTCGTGGGGTGGCTTCATCCCCAGAGTGGCAGCAGAAAGACTACAGAATTCATTGGGGTCCCAGCCATCCATGTGAGTGTTCAAAGAAGTAACTGTCTCGTGATTCTCTTAAGATCATGAAAAGTTTCTTTCGACTATCCTAGCAAATTTCTTTCATATTTCATTTGTCTTAATAGACCAGATGCCCAATTCCAAACCAAAATCTGAAGCCAAAAGAAGCTCGTACACTAGATGCATCAGTCCAGAGACGGGTGGGGCTCACTGTGACTGAGTTAGACTAACAGCTGTCCCACCAGGGCAGTTCAGGCTTCTGCTCCCCACCTGGAAATGACATAGTAATGGGCAGGGGACAATAGTTGTATACATAATTTATTATAATAGTTTCTTTTCTCTTGCACTTTTGTTTCTCTGTGTCTCTTATATGTATATCTTCTTTGGGTAATTTTTCTAAAAATCTACTCATTTCCCTTTCGTGTACTGGGTAGAAAAAATTAGTCTAAATATTTTAAGCTTGTGTTCCTTTTGGATATTCATGGGCTTTTATAAATTTTACCAATTTTATTTTTCCTGCATTTATGAAAGACTAGGTAAGACTTTTTAAAGTATTGAAGTAAAAGAAATTTTAGGTAAGTAAATATATTGACACATTTTAAAAAATTAAAATGTGAAAAAAAACTATCCATTAGATCTATTATAAGAATTCTACCAGATTATCTTCCTTGGCCAGTTATATTAAAATTTAGAGAGAAAATAAACTGCTTATAAATAAGGAAAAATGCTATGAAATAACACATATTGGAATTTATTTCTTTATACTTAACTAACTAGAAATAAATTTCAGAGCCAGATATAATAGTAAGGCAGAATAAATAGAGATGAAGAACTTCTGGTTAATAATGATAGATTGAGATCTGAAAAAACCATATTGAACACATACAGCATCTTGCTTGTCATATAGAACCTAACACCATAGAATAGTACTTCTCAAGAAGGTGTAAATCTATAAAGACAAGAGTAAGAGAGGAAAAAAATAACAAAGAAAATTTGAAAAAATATTTTGGAAGTCAAGTGATTGAATGGTATCTAACTTAGCCATCCTGGAAAAAAAGTTTAAAAAGTGTAAACTGCCCCAGAGATAAATCAAAGAAGCAGTCGAACTTATATCAAACTTTATATCATACAGTCACCAAAACGTTCTGGAATTGCCAGTATGGAGCCTCCCTAGAAAGTAAGAGTGAAGAAGGATTTGTTATAAATCTGCTCAAGAAACACGTAGATCCCCAGGTCTCTTTTTCCTGTGTTGGCAGAGATTGCAAATTTTACCCTCTGCAGGCACCTGGACTGGGATAGAAGAGAGAAGGAAGTATGTATCAAGAGCATCTGAAGGTAGAAGCAGGGATAGGTAAACATTTGTTCTGCAGCTTGAGAACCAGAGACCTTGGCCAGCTCACATGTTTGACTCTCAGAATGCTGCAGGCAGACAAGCTTGTACTTGGCAGCCATAATCTAAGAGCCTAAGACTAGCCAAAAACACCTAAAAACTGCAGAAAACAAGGATTTCCCATTCAAATAATCCCAGAAAAAATTACGTTTTTAATACTACGGTTTTGAAAATTATATATCCTTATCATCAGACATTTGATAAAAGCATTTAATATGGAAGACAGGGCCTAATACAGGGAAGTAATGGGGTGAGGGGCCAACCTGGAACAAATAAAAAATTATATGGGAGAAGGAAATCAGAAGACAACCTATTATTAATCTTGGAGAAGTTTGTAAAGAAAGAACATATATAAAACAAAAGTTTAATAAGAAAAAAGCCTCAAAGAACAAATAGAGCTCTTAGAAATTGTATGAATATGCCACACAAGATACAAATACACTATGAACAGATTAAATTAATGAAAATTTCCAGAAAGAAGAGTAAGAGTAAAAACAGGAAAACTGACTTACAAATACAAGAAAAATTAAGTATCTGCCTAGGTACTTTATCATCAAATGGTAGTAATCCTAAGAAAAGTTAAGGTTAGAGGTAGGATATTATCAATTAACTTGATCAAAAAACACTTCTATAGTTGAAAGACTTAAAACTGGATAAAGAAGATGTGGTTTTTCTATAAAATGGAATATTACTCAGCCATAAAGAATGAGAAAATAGATTCATTCATAGGAAAATGGATACATATTGAAGATATACTCCTAAGTGAAATAAATAAGTCACACATGTGTAAATACCGAATAGTTTCCCTGGTGTGAATAATCTGCAATAATACAGAAGACCCTAATAAGATTACTGACATTTAGAAATGGGAAGAAAGGAGCTAAAGGTGTAGGGAAGGTGAGATGGGTAGGGGAAGGGTAATAAGGGAAAAGAAAAAAATGTGAGATAATGACAAGATGGAAATAAAGTGTTTGTAGATGGGGAGGGGAGGAGGGGGTGAGGGGAGGGCAGGGACAAGGGGAAAAAATGAGAATCAAGACTTGTCATGTAGAGGTATAAGATCCCAACAATGAATGTAACTGTACTGTATCCCTAAAATGTACCAATAAACTCAATTAAAGCTGAAAAAAAGAAAGACTTAAATTTTTAGATTGAAAGAGCCCATTGAATGCTCATTAAAATAGATTAAGGAAGGCACTTATCAGCATACATTCTGTGAATTTTTAGAAACTTGGGATAAAATAAATTATAAAATCTTCCAGATCTAGAAAATAGGCTTCACACACACACACAAAAAGGAATCAGAATTATTTCTTCAACAATGCTTTATTCTGTAAATACTTAGTACCTACTGTGTGTCAGGCAGTGAACACAATGTAAAGACCAGCCTGCTGCTTTTATTTTGATGTGAAAAGTAATGCTGATACCCAGAAAACAGTGCACTGGGGCTTTGTAATTCTGAGAAAAAGATCATTACAATATAGAGCTCGTACCAACCCAAACTCTTACTAAGTGTGATGGTAAAACAATGATATTTCTCAGACATACCTAAAACATATGTTTCTTCTCTTTACTTTGATATGTTATAGAATTCATCAAAATAAAGTACGAAGCAATGATTTAACATCTTGGAAACAGGAAATCCTTTGGAGAGAAAAGGAAAAACAGTAGTGATTAATAGAGGACCTTCAAAGTGATAGTTGAGTTTAAAGAGCAGCAGGTCAGACAACTCTATTGACTAAATGGACAAAACTTGATAAGTTGAGAAGAGATTTACCTACCTGGAATAGTTTGGAGTTGTCTTAATTACATTGATAAATTGTATTAGAATTTGGAATTAGATTAAATATGTAATAGGGAGAAATTAAAAACAAAAGGCTTAGATATTAAAATATTGAGCAGTTTGCCAAGCATGGTGGTGCATACCTGTAATCCCAGCACTCAGGAGGCTAAAGCAGGAGGATTGCTGTGAGTTCGAAGCCAGCCTGAACTATATAGTAAGACCCTGTATCAAAAAATCCAGCTAGGCATGGTAGCATGTGCCTGTAATCCTGGCACTCGGGAGGC